CTCAATAGGTCGCCTCGCTCATCTTTTCATTCTCCAAGGTGCACGCAGCTCTCCTCGACGGATGCGCGTTTTTTGGTTAGGATTACGCAACTCTGCCATTGTCCCTTCCGCATAGCCGCAGAAACGTCTGGGCAGTTTTACGCGCCTCCGTCGTGCCACCTTGAACGAGAGCAAATCTCAGTTGAATTATCTCCGGCGCCGGCGTCGCCAGGCGGCGGTGGCGCGGAAAATTTGTCGAATTTCGCGCTGCTTTCGTACAGCTCCTTTGTTCCTGCGGAGACGCGGGAAGCTCGGAGCGCACCGCCGCCACCGCCGCCGCCGCCGCCGCCGCCGCCGCCGCCGCCGCCGCTCCGCTCCTCTCCGGCCGGTCCATACCGGAGGCACACGGTGGGTGCCCTGTCTCCACGCCAGTGAATGACGTAGCGTAGGTACTCCTGGCCGATCTGCACGGCCGCGTTCTCGCGTTCTTCGCTAGCTCGCGTTAGCTTGGCTAGAGATCGCGCGAGTAGAAGTACACACGCTCTCGTCGGCGTCGGCGGCAGCGGCGCATGCGCTGGCGCGACCGCGCGTCGCGACTCGACTCGACTCGACTCGGCCCGACTCCGGCTCCGGCTCCGCTTCTCGGCTCTCCGCGGCTCTCGCCCTCCCCGCCAAGGTGCATGCATGCATTCTATGCGGCGTGCACCGCATTAGATGCATTTCTAAGTCGCGCCGCAATAAATCGCAGAAATATCGAAGTCGAGGCCCCGGTACGGTCGCGCGCGCCTCACCGAAAGAGCTCGCGAGCTGTGCCGTCGAAACGAGATATTCGCGCGCGTGCTCGCGCGATACCGATCGCCGAAAGGGAGAGACGCAGCCTGGTGGAGAGGGGCAGGGGGAGCCCGGGGAGATAAGGCGGGAGAGAATCGAAAAAGAGAGCGAGGGCAAAGAGAGAAAGAGAGATAGAGAAAGATAGATAGAGAGAGAGAGAGAGAGAGAGAGAGAGGGAGAGAGAGAGAGAGAGAGAGAGAGAAAGAGAGAGAAAGAAAGAGGAAAAGAGAGAGAGAGAGAGAGAGAGAGAGAGAGAGGGTGGAGGCGGAGGAGACGAGCGGGCGGAGGTGGAGAGCTCGAGCTCGTTGATAAAGATCGAGAGATATATAGACGATTTCAGTGACGCGCTCCCGCGCATCAAGAGGAGCCTTCTTCTGCTCTCTCTCTCGTGTGCGCGCGAGCCAGTCGGAAAAACCGCACGAAAGAGACGCCCGCCGGGACGAGTGTATCGGTGCTTCTCTCTCTCTCTGGCCCTCGGCCGTACACGAGCGGCAGGAACGGAAAGGGCCCGGCGAAAACGGAGGAACCACCGCCGGAGTCCACTCTGACCCGCAGCGTTCGCTCGGATACTCAACTGCTCCTCGAAAGCCCGAAGTCTCTTGGTGGCCAGTGTGTGAGTGTGCGCGTCTACGCGAATTATCATACCGGTCGACCGCCGCCGCGCGCGTCCACGCTCGCATGTACTACGCGCGCACGCACGCACGCACGCACGCAATATACGCACGTGCGAGTCGCCGGAGCCATCCGGAACACCCGGTCTTCGAGTCCCTCCTCTCGTGCCCTGCCGATCTCCTCGTGGGACGCGGTTCGCGGATAGTGAGAAAATCGGTTTCCCGGTCTTCTCGGTGGATTTCCGGTCAGCGGCGGCGGCACCTTCGGGGAAATTCGGTCCCCGTCGAAAGAGCTCGGTGAGAGAGAGAGAGAGAGAGAGAGAGAGAGAGAGAGAGAGAGAGAGAGAGAGAGAGAGAGAGAGAGAGAGAGAGTGGGAGGGAGAGGGGGGAGAGAGAGACGGCAGGAGTTGTGTCATCGATTATCGATCGCCGAGTCGCGCGAGTTTCGAGTTGCTCGAAACACTGAGCATCGGGGAATATTCGTACGATTTCGACGCGCCGTTTTCAACGAGAGAGAGCGAGATTGCCACGACGACGACGACGACTCGCGTGCGCCGAGTCCTCCGATAATCCGCATCCGGCTGGCGTTGCGAATCGCCGACACGCCGCAATTGCGATCACGCGCTTATCCAATTCTCCCAAGACGAGAGCGATGTGCGAATAAAGAATCAACGGTGCCGCCTCGCCCGTAGCGAACTCGATTGGCCGAACGATCCGATTAGATCCTACCCTGTCCAGTGGGACATTCGATAGAGAAGAAAAGGGACGAAAGAAGGCAGAGAGAGAGAGAGAGAGAGAGAGAGAGAGAGAGAGAGAGAGAGAGAAAGAGAGAGAGAAAAAGGGAGAGAGAGAGAGAGAGAGAAAAAAGTAAGAGAATTCTCACAAGACCGGAGGACGGATTTACGGCGGAAAGTCGATACGCAAAATGCGGGGGTGAGCGGCGCGGCGGGAAGCGCGGAAAATCGGTCGGCAGCCTCGGAAAACTCGGTTTCTCGCCCATTAGCACGGTCCTGAGGCGCGTTTTCGCCGCGGTGGCACGGGCGCGGCACACGCGAAAAATCTGCGCCTCTTCATAGGGAGGCCGCGGTTTTCCTGCGACGCAGCGGAGTCGGGAGATCACGCGGCCGTCGTCGCGTCGGCGGTGTCGTCTTCGGCGCGACGTGCAGTGCGAGCGCGAGAAGCCGCCAAGGCGCGATCGTCGGCCGTCTCTCGTGGCGCGACAAGCGAGACGGTAAAACGCGAAATCCATCGACGAGGACGAGAAGGAGAAGTAGCAGCAGCAGCAGCAGCAGCAGCAGCAGCAGCAGAAGGAGAAGCAGCTACCCGTGCGTCGATCCGCGTGTCATCGATCGGGATCCACGCGTTCCCGTGCGCGGAAGAGAGTCGCGCGCGAGCGCGCGCGCGCGCGTGCGCTCGGCCGCCCGGCCGGCCCGCTCGCTCGCTCGATCGGCCGATCGATCGCGAAAGTGAGACGCACGGTGAGACGGAAATCGTCCTCGAGAAGAAAAGTGGGTGACGCGCGGAAACGGGAGGCGCGACTCGGCCTAGGATGTCGGATGAACTGGAGAAACAGCGGCCGGCTGCTGCGTCGAGTGCAGGAGGATGCTGATGACGACGAAGACGAAGACGACGAGGACGACGAGGCCGAGGACGACGACGATAAGGATGACGATCGCGGCGCTCTTGACGAAGGAGTCTTGAGAAACACGTTGGACTCTGCGAAACTTGGGCTACTGTTTCCACGGAGGTAGGTAAGGTACAGGAGAGAGAGAGAGAGAGAGTGAGTGAGAGAGAGTGAGTGAGAGAGAGAGAGAGAGAGAGAGAGGCCGCGCCGCACGGCTAAATCGAATGACTCGGCTCTACGACGCTCTTAATATGTCTGCTATCGCTCTATCGACGCCGAAGGGGACGCCCGCGAGGCGGAAATGAGCCGCCGCTGGCGAGAGAAACGTCTTTTTGCGATATCTCGCAGAGTATTCGCGAGCGACGAAAACGTAAAGTCCAAGGGAAAGAAAAGGATCGAGAAGAATAAGACGTCCGGTCTGAGAGACGCGCGCTGAGATCTGATTGAATCTTAATACGATGCGAGATCGTATTAAGATTCAATCGGCGGGAATTTTCGTACAACATTTGCTGGAAGTCAAATTGATTCAATAAGGAATGCGGTTAAATTTAATTGACAAGACATAAGAATCGGACGATTCAATCCAATCCAGCGATTCAATTTAATTATCCGAATCGATAATGTGAAATAGTTATTACAATTATTTAATTATGTATCACGTGTGTTAGATTAATTTGGAGACTACGCGACAAATAGCGTCGGATACTGCGTGCGTGCATGCGTGTGCTTGTTTTATATATATATATATATATGTATATATATATATATATATATATGCACGCAAGCTTTACGCTCGGATAATATCCCGGCCAATATATGCACGATCTACCACCCTATCGTTCTATTATTACGAATCGAATCTACTATTCGCAAAAAGCCACCTCGTATCGCCGGCGTCTCGCTTCGATGGATTTTCTCTAATGCCTCGACCTCTAACAACCATGCTATGTTCCTTGCTTGCAGAGGCTACACCGGGTACACACGCTTTGCAACGCGCGAAACCGAACTCAGCAAAAAACAAAAAACTAAAACAAAAACAAGCTACTAACAAAACGCCGAAAGACGGTGGCGGAACGAAAGACGGAAAAGAGAGAGAGAGAGAGGGAGAGAAAGTTGGAGAGGGAGAGAAAGTGGGAGAGGGAGAGAAAAAGAGAAAGTGGTAAAGAGAGAGAGAGAGAGAGAGAGAGAGAGAGAGAGAGAGAGAGAGAGAGAGAGAGAGAGGGAAAAGAAAGAACACAAAGCGGGAAGAATAAAACAAAGAGAAAAAAAGAAAAACGAGTCGATTGCGCACGTCGGGAAAAATTGCCCACGCCGGGAATTCGCCGCGCGCCTCCCGCCCTCCTTCCACCGCCGTCTTTCTCGTCTCCACGAAATTCGCTTCGAAATCCCGCAGCCTGTCTCGCTATCGGGTGCTGTTGCTGGTGTTGCTGCTGTCCTGCCGCCCCGGCTTCCTCGACGAACATGCCGAGAGTGTCGACGTAGCTACCTCGAAAACCGACGAGGTATCGAGGATCGACCGTAGACAATCCGTGGCAGGGTCATGCGGAACGATCGATCGAATAGGTGCTAGCGCGAGGAGGGCGGGAGGGGGCGGCGGTGGTGGTGTACGGGGAAATAGCAGGAGGGTTGGTGTGAGGTTTGGGATGCGGGGGAAGGAGGATGAGTGGGTGGGCGGCCAAGGGGCGAGCGGGGACGGGGTGGTTGCGGTGGTGATTAGTTGCAGTGTTTTGGAAAACAATGCGCGGAATTTCAACGGCGATAAATAATAAAGGACAAATAAAGTGTATCGGGCCACGGTGAAGTGAGTGCGTGTCAATAAATAATTGGCGGCGTACGTATTGCGCGTTCGCGCGTCGAATGAAAGCGGAGACGGGTTGGGGAAAAAAGGAAAAAAAAAAGAGAGAGCGCGAGAGGAGAAAAGGAAAATCTCACGCTCCCCGGAAATATGCGACGCCCCCCGCGGTGCTGTTGCGCTGTCCCGCTATTTTGCCACCGCCGCTTTTTCTTTGTCACTCCCGGAGCTTTTCACGAGGGGAAAATTGCGGGGTAACGAGGAAGCGTTTGTTTCGGCGTGTATAACGTATCGCGCATGACACGCTTCGATAAATCATTCCGTTTGTCGCTCCGACTCCGCGGAAATTGTAGATATTTTTTCTAAACAGATAATTATAGATATTTCAGACAGTATACTACTTTAGAAATGTATGTATAACATATACACACACACACACACACACACATACACACATACTTGTATACGCATGTTACAATGACTGCATTGAAAATCTCGTAATCGATAATCGGGCGACACACGCGTTCCTGTGTGTGTGTGTGTGTGTGCGTGTGCGCGCATAACACCGTCCGTTTCCCATACAGAATCCGGGAGGAAAGCACGCTGCGCGCTTCCTTTCCCGCTGGAAAGCGCGAATAAACGAGTTCTTCCCCGGCAACGGTCCATGAGAACGATGATGTTACAATTACAATAGCGCGTTTCCAGAAGATACATTCACCGACCCTACCTACCGACGCGCGTCATCCTTTGATTCGATCTTTAAACACAGCCCTTAAACAGGTTCAACCCATCTTTGAGACACGTCTGCCGGAGGGAAGACGAAATATAATGCTCACACGGAACGGTAAGAAAGCGAGTGAGAGAAAGAAAGAGAGGGAGAGAGAGAGAGAGGGAGGGAGGGAGAGTGAGCGAGTCAATAAGAGAGTGGCGAGGAAGGGTAGGAGGGGGGGGGGAGGAGAAAAGACGGAGAGAGCGAGAGAGCCGCTAAAAAGTAGAAAAATCCTGGACACCGTGGATGCTCGCCCCTTTTCTGACCCCCCACCTGGCGTTCGCGAGGACCCCGTGCGAGATGGGCCATCCCTCTCCCGTCCGGGGCCCTTCTGCCCCCCTTTTTTAAGGCGGCCAGCTGCGAGGTCAGTTTTCGACGAGCGCGCGGCGTATTAAGATGTTACGCACAAAATTTGTCATCGCCTACCGGTCATCGTTTTCGCGCATTTCACGAAATTAGAAGTTCGGTGTGTCCCCCGGTCAGTCCCCGGCCACGTGCTCGATGGCGAGGCACGGACGTCGGGAAAAGGCAGAAACGGCGGCAAAAAAAGGGAAAGAGAGAGAAGAGCGCGCGGCCGCGCAGCGCGTCGCGAGAGCACCGGCTGGATCGCTTCTGCAGTGATGAACGCGTGATGGATATTAAATGGACGCACGGTACGCATCGACAGATTAATTCCATTTACGAGGTGCTGCTTTTGACCAGGGAGGTTTTAACAAATATATGAGTTACGCTCGACGCGGGCGCGCGAGAATGAACGAGCGAACGAGCGAGCGAGCGCACTCAACTAAAAATACTCGCGAATCACTTTTCGGCGCTTTATCCTCGCCCGCGGCTGTTCGCCGACGAATATCGGGATCGATTATAGACTGTCGATTTCTGTGTGTGTACGTGTCTCTTTATCTATATGTGTGTATGTGTGTAAATATATACATTATATATATATATATATATATATATATATTCATTCGACTTCGGCACGTCGTCGAATAATTCGCGCGTAAAATTAATTCGATCCCGATATCCTCGTCGAATTGACGCAAAGAGAAGCAGCTTGGATATTTTTGAATCGCGCTCGACCGCCAAGAAATTACGCTGCAACAAATTTTTTTCTTTCTACTTCTTTCTTCTCCCCCCCTCTCTCTCTCTCTCTCTCTCTCTCTCTCTCTCTCTCTCTCTCTGTATCGCAGAGCGCGTTTCGCGGCGCGGAACGCGCGTTTCCTCTCGTCGAGAGACCGGTTGAAACCGTACCGCGCTTATCCCGGTAACGTTAACGCGCCGCTCACCAAATTCCCGGATAATGATAAGCTTAAATTTCCCCATTTAAACGCGGCATGTCTGATGATGTTGCGCCGTTTGTTAACGGCAAAAATATATCTCGCGTTTCAATTAGAGAACGATGCGACGAACGAATGCGATGCGACGCGATGCGCACCAGCGCGACAATTCGTACGAATCGGGGGGGGGGGTGGCCGAACGTCGGCCCTCTCCTCTCGCGCGTGTGTATGTGTGTGTGCGTGTGTGTGTGTGTGTGTGTGTGTGTGAGAGAGAGAGAGAGAGAAAGAGTGTGTGTACGATGTACATTCGACGCCCAGTGATTTCATGTTATCGGACACGGCCTCCGATACTTCTCCGATTCTCCTTCGTCTCGCTCCATCTCGCCCACGCTCTCTCACCTCTGTTGGTCCTTCCTCCTTCTCTTCCTCCTCCTGCTCCTCGTCCTGCGCTTCCTCCTCGCAGCCGCCGCCGTCGCCGCCGCCGCCGCCGCCCGAATAATTAATTGCAAATAGTCCGAATCCGATGGAAGTGGACGCGAGCAAAGGACGAAGGGGGCAGACAGGGAGAGGAGAGAGTTCGTCATGCCAGCAGCCGCCCTTTCGATCCTTTCGAGCCGAGTCGAGGCACGGCCTGACGTTTAATTTCGCTAATTTCTTTTCTCCCGTTCGAATTATTCGCGGTACGACGCTTCGTCCCCGACGTAAGGGTCGCTCCTACTGTCCCGGGCTCATCCCCTTACATTTTCTTTCTCCCCGAGTGCGCGAGGAGAGATCCTCGGCGCGAGAAAGGTGGAAGGAAAGAGGGAGCGCGCCGGCCTGCCATGAGAATGAGGGCCGGAAAAATAATTACACCGCGCGCGCCGAAGAATACGCGCAGTATTCTCTCGTAGACGAATGCCGCCGCAGAAAAACAGAAGGACGATCCCTTTGGAGTCCGTTCTCTCAGCCCGCTCCTCGTAACCGCCGCGACCTCAATAACGATAGTTTGTCGTTTTCTCCGGTTGAATGTCGAGATGGCATAAGCAGCGAGAAAATCGGGAGACGCGCTTCAGTAGCCCCCGAATACATTTCTCCGAATAAAATTGCACGCAACGGGTAGAGCTTGACTCGAGTTGGAGTAATTTTTCACTCGTGCCGAGCTCGTGCCGAGCGATTTCTTCGCTCCGACTCCGACGAGCAAATCTCTCGCTTCCGCCCGAAGTCGAAGAATGAATCCGATTGCACTGCGCCGTCTCCTCTGCAACACACAGCTTCAACGATTGAAATATTCACTCGCGTGAACTCCCAC